AGCATCTGGCCTGCTTGAGCAAAGAAGAGCAGGGATTGAAATGGAGGATGGGCGGCTCATCTTAAAGTAGTGGTAGAGGGGTTTGGGGGACCTTCCTGTGTAGTTTGTTAAATTGGGGAGGAGAGGGCAGTGTATTAATTTGAGGGAGGGGCTAGTGTATTAAATTGGGAGAGGGAGTGAGCAGTGTAAAAATTTTAGGGAGGCAGGGGGCCAGTGTATTAAATTGGGGAGTAGAGGCAGTGTATTAATTTGAGGAGGGAGCAGTGTATTCATTTAGGGGAGTTAGGGGGGCAGTGTATCAGAGTGGTAGGAGGGGGAGGCAGTGTATAAGAGTGGTGGGAGGGGGCACTGTATTAATTTGGAGGAGGGAGAGGGGCAGTGGATTAGAGTTAATGGAGGAGGGCAGTGTATTAATTTGGGGAAGGAAGGTAGTGTATTAAATTGGGGAGAGAGGCCAGTGTATTAAATTACAGTGTTGGGAGGAGGGTTAGTGTATTCATTTATAGTGGAGGGAGGAGGGCCAGTGTATTGGAATTGGGGCAATGAATTGGATTTGTGGGCAGTGTATTAGAATAGGGGGGGGGAGGCAATGTATTGGATTTAGGGGCAATGTATTAGATTTGTGGACAGTGTATTAGAATGGGGAGGGTCAGTGTTTTAGATTGGGTCTGCATGGAGGCGCTAAAAGCTCCCAATGGAGATGCTGATTAGCTGTGCAGCTTTTTGCCACACATGCACAATAGCCTTCCAATGCTTTCCTATGTGAAAGCATTGGATTGGCTGAGATAATCAAGATGGTTGATCTCAGCCAAAGTGAAGAATACACTCATGGGAAATCAACAAGATAATGTAATTTGTTTTTTACACCTGTGCAACAGCATACATTCAACCTTGCAGTCCCAATAAAAAACTTTCTTAATTTTTTAAAATATTTTCTTAATATGTCAAGGTAGTTGGACTGAAATATTGGTTATATGCAAATACAAGTCACCTTAAAAAAAATGTGCTCTTTTGTTTACTTTGAAGCCCTACGGACGTGAGGACATGCAGTGTCAGCTACGCAATTTTTTTACTGTACTTTTCTAAATAAACCTATGTTTCTAAGTTTTTGGGGTTTTTTGTGGCCCACATAAACGTAAACTTTTTACTGTTTATTTGGCCTATGTTAGCCTTTGAGTTTGACATGCTTGGGCTGCAGTATTGTATACTATTTTGTGGCCACTAGATGTCACTATAGCAACAGAAATATGGTATCAGAACCCAACAGTTGTTTGTAAAACCAATTGTTTTTTTCATGAAACCACAGGTAAATCCCAGATAGATCGACTAGTTTAAGTGTAGATAAACAGGAATTTCATTAATTTAACAAGTTTAATAAAAATAACCATGATAATAAAATTAATAATACTGATGTTATCAATTACAGTAATCAAATCTCAATCATTTACTTATAATCAGGTCAATTAACTATAATTGGTACCATTAACAGACTTTTGTTCACTATTTCCAATTATATAACTGGTGAAGATGGGTAGTTGTACGGACCTATAATTGAAACCCTAATGTCCGATATTTTCCCAGAATGTTCAGAAGCCAGCCTTTTTAATAAAATAAACTCTACAGACTCTATTTAACTGTGCAATGTATTTCGGCACCTTAATCAAGAGCTAAAAGATATATATATATATATATATATATATATATATTTCTGTTCGCTATTGATCACAGGGTCATTGAACAAAGTGAGAATTGCCAGGCATTTAAAGTGATTTCAAAATTAAGGCCAAACTAGCCACATTAGAAAAATCTATTTTGCTTTCAGTTTGGCTATTTTTGCCTTACATTTGAAATTCAATTTGTAATCGATTAGATTCCAGCAATTCTTTATGAGTATTTTGTATTTTGTTTATTCACTTTGAATTCCCAGCAATTCTACGTTTAGTGAATAATCCTGTTAGACACCTGTCATCTGTCATGAAGCATTACTTCTCTAGAATTTACTCTATTGAATACAACCTTGACAGTCACCTAGAATGTGTGTCAATTTGCTTTAGTGATGCTCTATTTTTCTTTTAAATTTTCATTAAAGATTTAGTAGATGACATCTCAATCCAGTTTAGTCTAGGTATGGGCACACTGCACATAAGGAACAGTAGAAACTTTGTTTAATTTTTCCTCCTGTCTCTTTGTTGTCTCTATAATGACTGTTAGGTGCAAAGGATGGAGCATATCAGAATGATTGACAGGAACCAAGATGAAGAGGACCAGTTAATGGATAGAATGGTGTAGATTTATAACTTAATTGTATTTTTTACTCATCAAAAACACAATTTTTGTTAAATATTAATATTATATTCATTAAAGTGATCTAAACAGTGATGCTCTTCATCATACATTTTTCTCATTGAAATTTCCATTTCAGAAGACAACCAAAGTTACAATGATGGGAAACTCCAACCATTTTTCAATCAGAATAAAATATCAGAAAAGTCATAAATCCTTTTATCATAAATCATAAATATGAAAAAAAAATTGACATCTATTCCAAAATGACGGTTAATGTGCAAAAAAATCAGTAGAAAAATTGTCAAATTTAATAATTATACAAAAATAAATACCTCCATGGTCTCTTCTAAATAAACCACGTATATAACTGAAGGCGGGGGGCAGAGCTAGCTGCAGACCAGCACTGACGCATCTTGGCAAGCTCCGTATCAAAATGAGCAAAATACCCGATTTGCTGGCGGAAATTGGACACTTACCTATCCCACACTTTGCCAACCTGTCGCGGAGGTGATGATGGGTACGAAAACAAAAAACCGAGGTGGGACAAACTCCCTCACAGCCATGACATCGGCGAACTCCTGCGGAACTCACAGAAGGCCACATGGGAGAAAATGGTGCTGAGGGAAGACGCCAATGCAGGCTCCCAAGACACATGCATAACTAATCTGGAGCAGAGAATTACAGACCTCTAAAAACAACAACTTGGCACAGCCGAGAAAGTGGAGACTTTGAAGGACCACAGAAGGAAAAATAACTTACTACATGAGGCGCTATTGGCAACATTACTGCAACCTAAACAGGCAAAACTCGTGAAGATAGATGGACTGTTCCACCTGCCCAAATCGGCAAAAGCACCCCCAACCGCTTCAGCTGACCTCATAGTGAGGTTCCAAACCCTTCAGACAAGACCACTTTATTAGCAGCGGCCCGAGGGAAAACCCCTCTTTCATTCGAAGACGAGGAGCACACTCAGCTGGCGCAAATCACTTCAACCGAGCCTTCAACACCTGACATCCAACAATATCCAGTACCGCTGGGGAATGCTGCGACTCATCACTTTCACCTTCCAAGGGACTACCTACCGGGCAAGGAGCCCACAGGAACTAGACTCACATCTGAGTCGGCTAGGCCTAATGGCTCCGCAAACAGAGCCCACGACCACCTTGACCCGGTTAGACCCCACCACAGTAAGGGAATTTATACCCAGATCGTCTCGACGCACTACGCCAGCAGGCAAAACAGCCTGAGCGTGCTACACCGAACAGACGATTTTCCATCCTGCTGAAAGCCACAAATTTCACCACCACAACCCGTGATTATACTCACCATGTTATAAATGTTATTTTGCTTACTGATTATTACTTTATTAGTTTGCTTTTGATCTCATAATTTTTAATTGTCTTAAGTATCTAGGACCACTAGAGCCATATGCAGATGGGCCCGCACGCAGCGTGGTCGTAGGTTAGAGATGTCCACTCTAGCGCTGGCTCTGATTTCTCCCCACCCCTCCTCCCCACTACTCACAATAGAGCTAAGGGAACTTACTGATGCAAATCCCCGGAGGGGGCCTTCCCTCCCCCCACCCCTCTCCCCGGAGCACTTAAGCTTACACAAGACATACAGTTCATGACTAGACCTTATTCATGTGCCCAGTGGGGCTTATCTTATTGTATTATACCTGTTGACTAACTTGTTTAAAAAAAAAAAAAATAATAATACCACTTGATGCTATGTACCACCCGTTAACTATGCTTTTATTACTTTATGTGAACTTTAATGGCAACAGCCCATGTATTGTATTTATTTTTTAACAAGCTGAGTGACGAATATAAAGAATTTAAAAAAATACAAATAACTGAAGGCATTTTATTTCATCACAAGCATTTATAGATCATTTTTTGCTCATTGTTACTTTTCCTAAAATACCCATTTGCTATCCCTTGAATAATATTGCAAAACAGTGCCCACATCCCATTATTTAGTGGAGCTGCACACAACTGAGAGATGTTATAGTTGTTGTTGAATCTCATTGATTGGAGTAGCTAGCTACCTTTATCTCCCTATGGTCCATAATACATTCATGCATGTAGTATTTGTAGGGAGAAATAAAGCAAGCACAATTCATGTCGGATAGTTACAGACTCAGTGCACTCACTGTATTCATTTTTTTAATGCAATCAAGGCAAAGACAAAATGACCAGTCACATCAAATTATACCAAATACAAATCAAATTTAAAATGACACCTTTATTACCGATGTTATAGTGTAATAATAATTATGCCAGCTTTTATATTTCACATTTAGCAGTAAAAAGTTTTTTTTTTTTAACCAAAGAAAGACACGATTTAACCCCAGTGAGATTTTTAACAAGTCAATAGACTTGCAGATTGATTTCAGGCCAAACTACAATTTGGACAAATTTGGTGATTGGATGAATTAGTGGACAAATTATTGAACACCGAGCTGAAATTTACCCAAACAATGCATCAATCAAACTGCACAATGCCAAATATATTCAGTTTGGGGCAATTCAGTGAGAGGGAATGGTTATAGCACCTACAGTGTCCCTTTCATGAACCCCTAGCAGAGTACTTTCAATTCGAATTGCACAATGTATACAAGTGCAATAAATACGTCATACTTAATAATTGAGAGCAATATACAAATGTACACTTAGGTCACTCTCTAGACCAGACTTCGACAAATTCCTGCCCTCCAGATGTTGCTGAACTACAACTCCCATGATTCTCAGCCTATCTATCTAATTCATAAAATCATGGGAGTTGTAATTCAGCAACATCTGGAGGGCCGGAGTTTGGGGAAGCCAGCTCTAGAGGAACAATCAAAGCACCATAACAACCTAAATCACAATACATAGGGTATAGTGTAAATAGATCTCAGTAGGTCTCCCCTTTCTTATGTTGTGGCATCAAAGAAGGAAGTGAAACTTTTCTTTTGATAACCAAAATCTGTCAAATGTATGTGTTTCACATGGAACTCCCTCTGAGCTGTGACAGCACAATGTGTGGTTGGCTATGGTGAATGCTGCACATTCACAGTTTTATTATTTTTTGTGAAAAAATGTATAGTCGTCATGTTAGGATATCAGGTTGCTGAGCAGTTTCATAAATTAGGTGATAATAAGCTTAGTAGAACTGCTGTTGGGAAATGATATATAATTCACCAAATCTGATCTATAGAAGTTTATGTGACTAGATCAGATCTCATAGAGCAGAATGAGAGGTTCCTGATTTTTAGATCCTGTTTCTGGTCTGGGATGGGTTTGCTAACGGCAGGAGAAATGTTAAAGGCGAGTTTTGTTTTGCATATGTTTCAATGCATTGACCTATCAGGGATATTCACTAAAAGAGACAATCGTAGGGAATTCGAAGTGAACTTAAAGTGATTTTCAAATTTGAGGCCAAAAAAGTTAGCTTTCCTACAGGTTTAACTACTACTGCTTTGCCTTTAATTTGAAATTCACATTGGCTTCCCAGCAATTCTCACTTTAGTAAACATCCTGGTATATAACACACTAAAAATGTACCTACTTCCAGTCTAGAGTGAGCTCTTAAAGGAACACTCTAGCATTAGAAATACAGCCATTTATTCCTACTGCTATAGTGCTATACTAGCTGTTTAGATTATTTAAAACCCCTCCAAAAGTAAAAGTAAGTAATAAATAATTTTGCTAACATTATTTCCCATGGCTTGCCAGTCTTGCCATGGATCCCACTCCTCCTCTGGCTGAGATCGTCAGTACTGGTAATATCAGCCAATTCAATGCTTTCCCATAAGGAAACATTTGGGGATAAAGTGCATGCACTCAATGCATCTCTATGGGGAGTTAAGCGTTGGTCCTGAAATCTTTGCAGGACCGCAACCAGGAAGCACTTCTAGTGGCTTTAAGCTGGCTTCAAGCAGCAGTATAAACACTGCAGAACCAGCAGACAGCCTCATCGTCTCGGAACCATTTAACTATGAAAAGCAAGCCTACTAATTAATATTTGGCATTTTTGGTAAGGTAAATATCAGTAAATTCATTTTTAGCTTGACAATTAGCAGATGTGCCCATATTTTTATGAAAATCATATTGCTTTAAAATACATGTGATAAGATACCAAAGGGGGTATTTATCGTGGCACAACAGGTACTGTTCTTGGGCAAAGTGCTAAATAAGGAGCAGTCACCATGGAAATTAAGAGTATGTGCTTCAACACTTTGCACCCAAAATTGCACCTGTTCATTTTTGATACATCTTTCCCCACATTCCTTAAAGGGACACTATAGTCACTAGAACAACTACAGCTTAATGTAGTTGTTTTGGTGATTATTGTCAGTCGCTGCAAGATTTTTGCAGTAAACACTGTCTTTTCAGAGAAAAAGCAGTGTTTGCACTGACATTCAATGTATCCACCCTCTGCAGGGAGACACTGAACTTTCCTCATAGAGATGCAGTGATTTTGTTAATTTCTATGAGGAGATGCTGATTGGCCAGGGCTGTGTTTTGCTTGGGCTGGCTTGGCCCGTGATCTGCCTCCTTGACAAGCTCAGCCAATCTAATGCTTTCCTATAGGAAAGCATTGTGATTGGCTTTGATCAACACTTCTGATGATGTCAGCCAAGGAGGCAGATCGGGGGCAGAGTCAGCAGCAGCAGACATAAATAAAGGTAAGATTTTACTGTATTTAGGGGTGGAGAGGCGGGGCAGGGTGCAGGGAGGTTAAATAGAGTTTTTAAACACTATAGGGTCAGGAATATAGGGTCACTATAGGGTCAGGTTCCTGACCCAATCATGCTTCTTTAATCAGAAATGTGTTATTCTTATTAGCAAGACATAAGCAGAAGAAAGAAATCCAGTTGTGTTTGTATTGTAAGTTTTCTAGATTCTGCATATTTTGTAGTTATTTCAAGTTATTTTATACATCAGTTTATTTTTTTAATTCACATTCAAAATGCCATGCTGCTTTTATTAGGCTTTGTAACTTACTCCCTACAGTTATTTGTAAGGCCTATTTCTGCATAATGTACTGGCAAAATACCAATCTGATGTATATTTAAAATATGTTTATTTACAGGGGAACATTCCATGAAGCATTAATATAAGCATGGAATTTTAAGTAAATATATTGATTAAAATTCATATGTTCCGGGTAAAATTACAATGTAGCTTGACATTTGAATATAATAGAAAGAGGGGTAACGGGAACACAACACATGGGAGAGAAAGATCTGTCTTTAGAAAATCTTTGAATTGTAAGCCATAAGAAGGAAAAAAAACAACCTTGAAACATTTAATGATCTATATAGTATTTTCATACTCTGCCGCTGTGGGGGGGAGGATGATATGCTCCTCATCCTGAAATGCACACTGCCGCTGGTGAGTGAGACTGGTCATCTCCACTACCTGTAATTCACACTGCTGCTGGGGATTGAGGGCAATACTCTCCTCCCCTTGGTTGTTAAGTTCATGAGCTCCATCACTTCGGAGACTGGCGACGTTACCTGGCAAAACAGACGTACATAGTCCTGTTCAAGCTCCCACTCCAGGTTAGCAATAAAAGTCAGATCCGGCTGCATTTCCAATATATCCCCGTAAGGCCCAAGCTTTGTTCCCACTCATCTTTGATGCACAATAAGCGGGAACTGTCTGGGTGTCCTAATGCCATACCATTCTCAAAAACCTCTCACAAAAGACCAGGGCCATCGTAGTCCTCTCCCTCAATGCATGTATCGTCGACCACCCATGGGTAGAGGTGAGATGCATGCCACCGCAGGGCCCAGTATGATTCATCCAACCACACTTCAGTCATGACCAGCATCTCCAGTTCTTTTACCCATTCCTCTAATGGCTGTTCTCCAAGGAACGACATCCACATCCCTAGTTGTTCCAAAAGGCGCTGGTCGGTGGTCAAGAGGAACTCGTTCTGGAAGTGTCGAATTTTGTTGAGTTCCCCCTTCCAGAGATCAGTTCGGATCAATACCCTCCATTCTGTGCTCTCCATATCTCCACTTCCTTCCGAAAATGTGCTGGTTCCCCATGGCTAGGAAGCCATCCCACAGCTGCCACTGCTTGTAGTGGAGCTCCATGTATCCCAGCTGGGTACCTCCGACAAGGATCGCTTTCTAGCTGGGACTTGGGAAACCTAAGCGCTTCTGCCCCAGGATAGGGGACTAGCTCTATTCACTCCCAGACACTGGACAACACACAGTCCTGTGAGCTATAGTCCTTACAAGTACTTTCCCAGGTGAATCCTCCATGAGCTGAAACAAGGTGCTAAATAGTGATTAGCCCTTTCCACTCCCAGTAACTAGACAACACATAGTTCAGGGAGTACAACTGATTTTAATCAGCCAAACTCAGCCTTTTATGCACAGACCCCAGTAGGGGGTCTCCAAACAATACAATGCAAGCCCCTCCCAGTAATCTATGGGCCTGGGAGATAATTGAGTTAAAGACCTGTTAGCTAATTATCTTCAATTAGAGCCCAACACAAAACATAAAAACATAAAAGTACCCCAAAACATAATAAAAAGATACAAAACCACACCTGTCCTACATCCCCAAACAGCCCTGCTCTGAGTGGCCAAGTTGACCAAATAGCGCTCACATCCATGTAGTATTTGGGAAACGCCACCAGGCCAAAGTTCTGACCAGCCACAAATGTGGTCCTATGCCCAAAATAGTTCCAGAGCAATGTGTGCTTTTGCCGGTCAACTTTAGGGAGCCCCTGCGCTCCATCTAGGGATACTCCACCGGGTTCCCAGGGAGCATTTGTTTCCATCAGTCTCAGGCACCTTTCCTCCATAAATTTGCAAAGTGGTTCAAAACCCCTGACCAAATCACCCGGGAACCGCAAGGTCACCTCATGCCGAAAACAGTTCAATAACATTCCCCATCACCTCAGGGGCAGCTAAGTGCCCCTGAGGTGATGGGGAACTACGAAGTCCTCATGCTGAAATTAGTCCCATAGCAGTCACGGCTAAGTGCTACTGAGGACCATTCATGAGTTTGGTTCATGCGAGTGGCTGCCAGGGAGCTAGTGTTCGGTTCCATTCAAATGAAGAGAAAGTACCGAACCAGGGGCATCGTGGGAAAGCTGCTAATGGCAGCTGGGCAGGATAACTCCCGAAAAGTGCTCTTCGACCTGGACCATAGTCGGTGGGCAGAAGGCCAGCTTCCACACTCCTCCAGGGGTTTGTGGCAAATGTTTGTGGGAAGGAGCGTTTGTCACATGGTATATTTACTAAACATCACTTTTGAGTACTGGAGTAATTTGTAGTTTGACTCTTGGAATTTTTATTCATTTATGCAACATACTATATTTATTTTGGAGTTATAAGGACTTATTTGGACTGTACCTATATTGTATCGTTCATTTATGTAGTTATAAATATTTTTTATATACATTTATTGTATCAATCAATTTTTCAGGCAGTATCCACATGAATATTGCAGTTTTGTTTGCATTTATTTATCCTGACATATACTTACATAGATTGTTATTTATTATTATTTTGGTGTGCTTTTCCTTTTATATAAGCTTCTGGGATTGAGTGGGTTTTTCTAAGCTTTATATATATTCTGCAGTACAATACTACCTTCAATACTGCTACTAACTACACTAATAATGACAAAAACAACTTTTTATTCTTAAAAAAAAACGAATACTCTCGATACCATCACTAATATCACAATAAGAAAATGGATTAAACATACATTTCATTAAAGCACTGATTGTTTACACCAAAGCCTATATAGGTGCCAATACGCTATGAAAAAGACATACATTTAGCTCTTGGACA